CTGCAGACCGGGGTATGGGTTAGAGTCGAGACCGATGACAGACATGGGCCTGGGTAACCCCTCTGGGGGTACCCTCTTGCCGTCCTTGCCGCTCCGGTCCGTGCTTCACCACTCTCGATGGCCAGCCCCGTTCGAAGAGTCTCGACATGGGCGTGCAAGGGGCTTGCATCCTTACCGCGCATACTTACTAAGTATCGGTTTTGACTGCAGTGGCAGGGATAACCCATCCCCGAAGGGAAAGAGGGTTGGAAGATATGACCCGCTAGACCTCCTATGCCCAGAGGGCTGATGTGGAAGATTCGAGATTGTGCCGGAACGTGACTCTCAAGGCTCGTCCAGGGCAATTCAGCTGCCACTGAAGCTGAATGTCGAAAGTATGCGCCTTGACTGAGAGCCTGTCCTCGGTCTACAGGTGCTTCCAGCTTGGACCATTGAGTCATGTTACCCTGTTCTGGGCACGAGTGCGGCGCCTGCTTGGGCCAGCTCTGCGGAAGTGGATCGCAGAACGCCAGCTAGCAGGGGACGCCTCGCGCTCTCCCTGCACGGGTACCACAGCCCGTGTCGGGTGTCCGTGCGTCCAGCGGGTAAACAGCGCGGGCGGGCACGCGCATGTCGAGCTATCCGGAGCATCATTCGCCGGAGGCAGAAGGGCGGGGGGGCAAGGACGCAGTTGGCCGTGCTCGTCGACTTGTCGGGGCGACTCCTGTACGTGTGGCGCTGCTCGTTTCCCCAGAGGGCTCGATGTTCTGGGGTGGGCATCCGCGTGCGGGCAGCCCAGCGGGTGCCCCTACGGATTCCTGGCCGCCGTGCCCTTCGTAAGACATGCCCAGGCTGCTGTGGCTGTCGCGTCTCTTTGAGGCGGGCTTTATGACTCGATGGGAGCAGTGCATCCGCGCGCAGGGTCGATCGAAGATGCTTGTGGGACGCGTCGCTGCAAGACTGCAAGGCACTGCCATCATCCGCCTTGTGCGGGGGACTCAGGCCAAGTGCTCCCAGACATTCCAGAAAGGCCTTTATGAGGCTTCCAAAATGCATGCAGGGGCCTCTTGGGCCCTCCAGGGGGCCTCTTGGGCCGTCCAGAGGCAGAAGCTCCAGAGGTCTTTGGGGGGCAGTATCCGAAGGCCCCAGGGGGTCTTGCTGATCGCCTGTCACGACGCCCCTGGCGGCCTTGCCCGGGGTCTCCCGATGAAGCTTCCAAAGGTTGTCAAGGGGCCTCTCAGTGTTCTCTGGGGGCATCTGTTGGGGTCTTCAGGGGGCCTCCAGGAGTTCGGACCTCCATAGGCCTCCAGTGTCTCCCAGTGAGCCTCCAGGAGCAGGTAGTACGATCCCTTCAGGTTGAGGCCCAGCTGCTGAGTCCTGCCTCCGTAGGGCGGGTGGGTGAGCAAGGGCGCCCTCGAGGGCACGAAATGATTCGTGCTTCGTGCTTCGCTTCGCGGTTCGGCTCCGATTCCTCCTCATCCTTCCTCGGGCGGCTCCTTCTAGAACTTTATTGAGCTGCTCGTCTAGGTTCCGACGTTTTGGCCGTCGCGCGTTCTGATCATTTGACCTCGCCGTCGCTGGCGTTGTCGTCGTCGGTGCCTTCTTGAGGTTCGGACCCCAGTCATGCGTTGATGCAGTCACGCTTCCAGTCCAGGCACATCGTACCAACTTTACCTCACTGCTTGTGGTGGGGAGGTGGCGGAGTGGATCTGGGAGCAGGAATAGGAGTCGGAGGAGGAGTCGAGTCAGCCAGCTTGAACGAGGCAGCGGACCCCGCCTCCGACGACTCGGGAAAGGAAGCCGCGGGCCACGCAGGGCCCATGCCGATCTTGTCGATCCGAGCCGATTTCGACGCCAGCCGTTTCGATCCGATTCGATCTCGATTTTCCAGCGGTCCGATGCGGCCCGACGCTTCTTGCATGGCGTTGCGGTGCAGCCTGGCGCAGCCGGCCCCGGCTCGATCCCGATTCCGTGCCGATGCAGCCCGATCCGACGCACATCTCACATGTCGATTCGATCCGAGTTCCCGATGCGATGTCGATTGATCTTCCCACGCACGGGCGGAAGCAGAACTCCAGGAACATCGCGCCCGGGCACGTTCTGTGGGCAGGACTCGCGAGGGCCAAGCATGCGCCGCCACGCCCAAGCGGGGGCGCAACTTGGAAGGCGAGCTCGGCGGAAGCGAGGGCGATCTCGGGCGCAGCCCCGCTTCCGACGGCTGCGCGAGCGAAACATGCGTGCCGCGCCTGTTCGGGAGCACCACTGTTGGGCGAAGCCTGCGCCGCGAATGGGCAATACCGACATCTCGTCCGACTAAAAGTTGCGAGGGAAGATGTGCGCCGCGCCACGCAGGGAGGAAACTTCCAAAACAAGTATGCTCGCGTGGCCCCGAGGCGGGAGCAGCATTCCGATATTTCGCTCGCGATTTGCGCCGCAAGGAATACGGAGGCTCGGAGGAGTGGATGTATTGTATTATCGAAGACGCCTACGGCGAACTATCGCCGCCCCCTGCCTTCGGTGGCCAAAGGTTGCTTGCCAGGCTCTTGGGCTACGTGCTCCCCGAGTCGTTCTGGTAACCCTAGAGGGGACACTTGTGGGGGGAGGAGGAGGGAGGAGGAGAGGGAGGAGAAGGAGGCCGAGGATGATTCCGAGGAGGAGGAGGAGGAGGAGGAGGAGGGGGGGGGAGGAGGAGGAGGAGGAGGAGGAGGACGAGGAGGAGGAGGAGGAGGAGGAGGAGGAGGAGGAGGAGGAGGAGGAGAAGGAGGAGGAGAAGGAGGAGGAACAGGAGGCCTCTCGGGGCCCTCCTGGGGGCCTCCTGGGGACCTCTTGGGGACTTCTTTGACGCCACAAGAGGCCCGTCGGCCTCCCGAGGCGTATGGGGCCCTCTTTGAGCGCTTTGGGGCCGTCGTGGAGGTCCGTGGGGCCGTCTTGGGGCCGTCTCGGGGGCCGTCTTGGGGCCTCTCGGCCCATCTTGGGGCCCTCTGATGGGTTTCTGGGGCCGTCTTGGGGCGATCTCGGAGGCCGACGGGGCCGTCTCCAGTTGTCGGAAGCCTGGGATGGTGAGAGCGCGAAAGCTACCGACACACCAGAGGAATATTTATGACTTTGGCCTCCTGGAGGTTCTCTTGGAGCCCTCTTGGAGCGTCTTGAGGCCATCTTGGGTCGTCTTGTGTCCATCGTGGGCCATTTTGGAGGCATCTTGGGCCATCTTGGGCACTCCTGGACCATTATGGACGTCTTGGGACCGTCTTCTTGGAGGCTATATTGGCCATCTCGGAGTCGTTTGCGCCATCTCGTGAGGATGTCTTTGGCGAAACGCCTGTTTTTGGACACGGTGTCGGGCTGAGCCAGTGGCCACTAGAAACCTGTTGGAGGGGTTCGAAACTGTAAACACTTTGGCACGCCAGGCACACCTGTGGCAAGCACAGGGGGCGGCGGATCGAAGACGCCTACGGCGAATCACCGCCGCCTCCTGCCTTTTGGAATCGCCCATGTGGCCAAGCGTTGTGGCAAGAGCTTTGTCAAGCTATCGGGCCATGTGTTCCCCCAGCCGTTGTAGAAACACTTCGGGGAACACTTGGGAGAGGATGGCGGGGAAGATCATGAGGAGGAGGAGGAGGAAGAAGAGGAGGAAGAAGAGGAGGAAGAAGAGGAGGAGGAGGAGGAGGATGATGAGGGGGCATCTTGAGAGCCTCTGGGGGCACTCTTTTGGCCTCCTGGGAGCTTTCTGGGGTCCTCCTGAAGGCATCTTTAGGTCTCATTGGGCCTCTTGGGGGGCCGACTTGGGGCCCTCTTGGGGTGCTCCAGGGCCGTCTTGGAGGCCATCTTGGGCGTCTTCGACCTCTTGGGCCGTCCTGGGGCCCTTTTGGGGCCGTCTTGGGGGCTTCTTGGGCCGTTCTAGGGCCGTCCTGGCGATCTTGGGGCGATCTTTGGGGGCTCTTGGGCCTTCTCGGGCCGTCGGAAAGCCGAAAAGAAGCAAATGCCAGCCCAAAACCGTCAAATACCTGAAGAAAATCAATGATTTTGGCCTCTTCGGGCCTTCCTGGAGGCCCTCTTGGAGGCCTCTTGGGCCATCTTGGAGGCCTCTTCGGCGCCTCTTGGGCCCTCTTGGTTCGTTTGGGAGGCTTCTTGGGCCGACTTGGAGGCATCTTGGACCCTCTTGGGCCGTCTTGGAAGCCATCTTGGACCATTTTGGGCGAACTTCGAGGCCATCTCGGGCCATCTGAGCCGTCTTAGAAGCCATCTTGGGCCGTCTTGGAGCGAGAAAGGCATTGTCACGTATATTTTCGGCGCCCTTCTGGGTGACCGGCGGGACGGGCTGAAGCCCCAGGGGAGAGCTCTTTTCGAAAAAGAGCCAAAACCACAACCGGTAGGGTCTAGCACGCCGGGCACCCCTGTGGCAAGACCACAGGGTGCGGCGGGTCTAGTGGCCTTCGGCCCATGCCGCCACCGTGCCTGGGTTGCGGCCCAGAGGACTCGTGGATCTCTGTTGGGGCCTGTCTCGGATATGCTCTGTTCTCGGTCGGTTTCCGGGAATCGCCCAGGCGCTGGCAAACAAAGCGAACATGTCCGCCGTGCCGAGGATGCTGTTGTCGTGCTGTTTCGGTGGAGCGCGCCCGCTTCGGCCAGGTCCGGAGACCCAGAAGGGGCCCCCAATCACGAACTAAGTTCCCCGACTGCGCTGCTCCGAACCCAGCCAGCGTCTAGCACTCCTTAATTCGCTCCCGGGCACCTGGTCGCGGCCGACCCAGGCATGAAGCGGTTGAGCCCCGCCCGTGCAAGTCCTCTCGGGTTCCCCTCTGTCTTTGGGGCCTGCATTCGGGCATCCTGCGCACCGCGAGCGCGCCGCGCGGCGACCGTGGCGGCCGACCCCGCCGTGAAGCAGCGGCCCCGGCCTCGGCGAGCCCTCTCGGGCGGCCCTCTGCCTCCGCCGCTCCGAGAGTGGCCAGCTCCGAGCGTGCACTCTCTCTTCCTCTCCCTTTCTCTCTCTCTCTCTCTCTCTCTCTCCCGCGCGCGCGCCTCTCGAGCGCCGCCGCGCGGCACGCATGGCGCCCGCGGGCCCCGCCATGGCGGCGGCCGACCTCGCCGTGAGGCAGCGGCCCGCCTCCGCGACCTGCGCGGGGCGCCCGCGCTCCGCGGGCCGCGGCCTCGGAGTGCTCGCCTGGGCCCGCGGCCTTGGCGAGCGCCTCCCGCGCCGCAGGCGGCGGCCCCGCGCCGCCTTCGGCGAGGAGGCGTGGCCTGCCTCGCGCGGAGGAGGAGGAGGAGGAGGGCGGAGGAGGAAAAGGGAGGAGGAGGGAGGGAGGAGGAGGGGAGGAGGAGGAGAGGAGGAGGAGGAGGAGGAGGAGGAAGGAGGAGGAGGAGGAGGAAAAGAGGAGGAGGAGAGAGGGAGGAGGAGGAGGCGGAGGAGGAGGAGGGTAGGAGGAGGAGGGAAAGGGAGGAGGAAAATGAGGAGGAGGAGGCGGAGGAGGAGGAGGAGGAGGAGGAGGAGGAGAAGGAGGAGGAAAAGGAGGAGGAAAAGGAGGAGGAAAAGGAGGAGGAGGAGGCGGAGGAGGAGGATGATGATGAGGAGAAGGAAAAACAATATAATAATAAGACAAAGAGGAATACTACTTAGACTAATAAGAAGAATAATACTACGACGAAGAATGCGAATAGTAAGAACACTGAGAATAACAATAATACCACGACTAATAATACTAATACTATTTAGACAAGCAATACTAATGATAAGGCTAAGAATAATATTAATACTCATAATAACTCTAAGAAGACTAAGAATACTACAACGAAGCTAATAATAGTATTATAAATAGTAATAATAATATTACTATTAATGCCACTACTCATGACACTATTACTTTTATTTTTATTAATAATAATAATGCTATTACTGCTACTACTACTACTACCACCACTACTACTACTACTACTACTACTACTACTACTACTACTACTCATACTACTACTACTACTACTACTACTAATATTAGTACTCGTAATAATGGTAGCACTAATACTACTACTAATAATAAAAATCTTGATACGAATACCAATACTAATACTAGTACTGCTAATAATACTATTACTACTATAATGATATTACGAATAATAATACTACTACTAATAATACGACTAATAATATTATCAATCATAATAGTAATTGCAATACTGATAGCACTAAAAATACTAATACTAAGAATACTAACCATAATACTAATACTACTAATATCCGTGATACTAACAATAGTACGAGTAATACTAATATTCATACTATTAATAATAATGATGCTCTTAATAATGATACGAATCATGATATTACTAAGGCTAGTAATAACCACAATAATACTAACGATAATAATACTAATATTAATAATTTTAGAAATAATAATAATACATAAACATAATATTCATAATACCAATAATATTAATAATAATAATAAGAATAGTAATGATAATGATAATGATAATGATAATAATCATAATAATAACATTCATAATTATTATTCGTATTATTAATAATAATAATAACAATAATAAAAATAAAACTAAAAATAATAGTAGTACGAAGAAGAAGAGGAGGAGGAAGAGGAGGAGCAGGAGGATGAGGAGGAGGAGGAGGAAGAGGAGGAGGAGGAGGATGATGATAGTCATGAGGATGAGGAGGAGGAGGAGGAGTGGCGGAGGAGGAGGAGGAGGAGGAGGAGGAGGCGGATGGATGATGATGAGGAGGAGGATGAGGAGGAGGAGGAGGAGGAGAGGAGGAGGAGGAGGAGGAGGAGGAGGAGGAGGAGGAGGAGCGGAGGCAGTGGGGGATGAGGGCGGAGGAGGGGCGGAGGAGGGCGGAGGAGGGTGGAGGAGGGCGGAGGAGCGCGGACGAGGCGGAGGAGGGAGGAGGGCGGAGGAGGGCGGGGAGGGCGGAGGAGGGCGGAGGAGGGCGGAGGAGGGGCGGAAGGAGCGGCGGAGGGCGGAGGGGCGGAGGAGGGCGGAGGGAGGAGAGAGAGCGGAGGAGGGCGGAGGGCGGAGGAGGGCGGAGGAGGGCGGAGGAGGGCGGAGGAGGGCGGAGGAGGGCGGACGAGCGCGGAGGATGGCGGAGGAGGAGGAGGAGGAGGAGGAGGAGGAGGAGGAGGAACAGGAGAAGGAGGAGGAGGAGGCGGAGGAGGAGGAGGAGGAGGAGGAGGCGGAGGAGGAGGAGGAGGATGAGGATGAGGAGGAGGAGGAGGGCGGAGGGCGGAGGAGGGCGGAGGAGGATTGGGAGAAGGAAGAGGAGGAGGAAGAGGAGGAGGAGGATGAGGAGGAGGATGATGAGGAGGAGAATGATCATGAGGATAAGGAGGGCGGATGAGGAGGAGGAGGAGGTGGAGGAGGGCGATGATGCTGCTGCTGATGATGATGCTGATGCTGATGATGACGATGCTGATGCTGATGATGATGCTGCTGCTGATGATGATTATGTTTATGGTGATGATGATGATGCTGATGATGTTGATGATGCTGATGCTGATGATGATGATGCTGATGTTGATGATGATGATGATGATGATGATGATGATGGTGATGGCGATGCTGACCACGACGATGATGCTGCCGATGATGATGCTGCTGATGATGATAATCATGATTCTGATAATGATGATGATGCTGATGATGATGATGATGATGATGATGGTGATGGTAATGCTGATGATGATGCTGCTGATGATGATGATGATGCTCATGATGATGATGCTGCTGCTGATGATGATGACGATGACGCGGATGATGATGAAGATGCTGATAATGGCGATGATGACGATGACGATGACGATGCTGATGAGTACGATGATGATGCTGATGACGATGATGATGCTGATACTGATTATGGTGATGAATCTGATGATGATGCTGATGATGATGAGGATTATGATGCTGATGATGATGCTGATGCTCATGGTGGTGGTGGTGGTGGTGGTGGTGATGATGATGATGCTGATGATGCTGAAGATGAGGAGGAAGAGGAGGAGGAAGATGAGGCGGAGGAAGATGAGGACGAGGATGAAGAGGAGGAAGACGAGTAATACTAATATCAGTCACAGTACTACTTATATTAATACTACTGCTGCTTATACTAGTAAGCTTTTTGCTAATACTAATAATACTATTGTCAATCATAATATTAATGACTATACTAATACAATTGCTAGTGCTACTAATAATGATGACAAGAAGAATATTGAGAATAATATGAAGAAGCATCAAAACAAAAAAGAAGAGGGCGGAGGAGGGCGGAGGAGGGCGGAGGAGGGCGGAGGAGGGCGGAGGAGGGCGGAGGAGGGCGGAGGAGGGCGGAGGAGCGCGGAGGACGGTGGAGGAGGGCGGAGGAGGAGGAGGAGGATGAGCAGGAGGAGGAGGAGGAGGAGGAGGAGGAGGAGGAGGAGTATGGCGATGATGGTGATGATGATGCTGATGATGGTGATGGTGATGATGACGATGATGATGATGATGAAGATGAAGAAGAATAAGTAATACAAATAATCATAATACTAATAATAAAAATAGTGATGATAATAACAGTAGTAATTATTTTATTACTGCTACTAACAATAATAATAATAATATTATTAATAAGAATAATACTAGTAATAACATCAGTAGTAATAATGATAATTATAATGATGATGCTGATGATGATGATGATGAGGATGATGATGATGATGATGGTGGTGGTGATGATGATGGTGATATTGGATGATGGATGATGATGATGATGATGATGATGATGATGATGATGATGATGATGATGATGATGATGATGATGATGATGATGATGATGATGATGATGATGATGATGATGATTAGTGGTGGTTGTGGTGATGATGATGATGATGATGATGATGAGGAGGAGGAGGAGGAGGAGGAGGAGGAGGAGGAGGACGAGGAGGAGGAGGAGGATGAGGAGGAAGAGGAGGGCGGAGGAGGGCGGAGGAGGGCGGAGGAAGGTGGGTCCTGCTCCCGCGTGACTTCGCCGTTGCCCTCCGCCGTTACCGCGCACTGGGCGCAGCTCGGGCCAACGGCCGGGCGGCGGTGTGCCCTGAGAGAGGCCCTTCCTGGCCATCCCTGGGGCCTCTGGCCCCCGGCCTTCTCGGGGCCTCGGGGGGGCCCCTCGCAGGCTCGGCTGGATTCCGATTTTGGTCGATTCCGATTCGGAGTCGAGTCGGCTTCGTATTCCGCTTTGGGCTTCGGTTTCGCAAAGGAGGCCTTCTTAGCCTTCTGGCTTCCCCAGACTTGGCTGCCGACTCTCGCCGATCCGAGTCATTTCGATCGCCAATCCGATTCATCTCGTTCGCCGCTCCGACCTGTCGATTCGAGTCTGGGCTCTCCTGCCTCGTGGCCGCCGATTGGGGCGCAGCTCGAAGCACTGGCCGCGGGCGGCATCTGGGGTCTGACGGGGCCAGCGCGAGGAAAATCCGGTCCAGAGCGTTCCGGGACGCTCTCAGAGCGTTCCGGAACGCTCTGAGATGGCCGCGGCGCCCGAGACATCCTCCGGAGCCGCCGGATCTCAGAGCTTCCCGATGTATCCTTGCCCACCTGTGCATCCTCGCCCTGACTTCGCCTTGCGGGGGCGGTGTCCGGAGGGGGGCGGCTCTGGGGCGAGCGCGGCCCGCGGCGGGGGCTCGCTCGCCGCCGCGGCACGAGCAGCAGCACTGGGGCGCGGGCGCTCCCGGGCTCGAGGTGCACCGTGCAGGGGCCCCACGTCGGGCCTCCTGGGGGTTCCACGTCGAAGCTTCGACCACGCACAGGGGGGGGGGGTGAGGAGGGGTCGGGGGGAGGGCTTCTCAGAAGCACCCCTGCTTCTCAGAAGGCGCGGGCCTCTTCTGCAGATGCATGACCGGCGCCTTCTGAGAAGCAGCCTCCTTCTGAGAAACCTTCCCCTTCTCTCTACAGTGGAGACCCATGCCGAGAAACACTGCACTCGCCTCCAGGGTGCCCTTGGTTTCTTGGGTTTCGATGGTTGTGCGATGGAATGCGCGACGTGCCCACACCAAAAATCGATGGACGTCCTGGGGTCTCAGGGTTGGGTTTCTTGTGGAAGGTCTATTGTGGACTGGCCTGCGCTGCATACCCCCCTTGTGCGCCTCGGCCAGCAGCTTGCCCTTCGGAGG